AGTAGTACAAATATTTATTTTGGTTCAAGAGTCTTTTTCTGTCTGACGTATAATCATTACCCTGGAATTTTCTGTTCTTATTGAGCTCCTTGAACTATTTTTGTTAGTTTGGTTTTATTTTTTGTTGTTGTTTCCCACTTTTGAGTTATAATACGCATACAGCACTGTGTCAGTTTAAGGTATATAGCATGACGATTTGACTTACATATATTGTGAAATAGTTACCACAGTAAGCTTAGTTAAGATTTATCATCTCGTAAAGATAGCAAAAAAAAAAAAAAAAAAAGAAAGAAAGAAAGAAAAAGAAAAAGAAAAAAATTTTTTTTCCTTGTGCTGATTTAAGATTTATTCTTTAACACGGGTGCCTGGGTGGCTCAGTTCATCAAGCACCCGACCCTTGATTTTGGCTCAGGTCATGATCTCACAGTCAGGGATTGAGGCCCTCATCGGGCTCTTCACTGGTTGTGGAGCCTGCTAGGGATTCTCTCTCTCTCTCCCTCTCTCTGCCCACCTCCTCAAAATAAATAAACGTTTTTTTAAAAAAAGGATTTATTCTTTAACAACTTTCAAATATGCCACACAGCAGCGTTAACTATAGCCATCATGTTGTACATTACGTCCCCACTACTTATTTATCTTATAAGTGGAGTTTGTACCTTTTGCCACCTTCATCCGATTCCTTCCCCTCCCACCTCCAGCCTCTGGTACCACAAATCTGATCTCCTTCTACGGCTTTGGGTTTTTTGGTTTATTTTTTACATTTCACATATAAGCAAGATCATACTGTATTTATTTTTCTCTGGTTTATTTCACTTAGCCTTAAGCCCTCAAGGTGCATCCATGTTGTTGCAAATGGCCGAATTTCCTCCTTTGCATAGGTGAATAGTGTTCTATTGTATATATATTCCACAACTTCTCCCTCCACTGGTAGACATTTAGGTGGTTTCCATGTCTTGGCTATTGTAAATATTGCTGCAGTGACATGAGGGTGCAGATATCTCTTTGACAAAGTGTTTTTGCTTCCTTCAGATATCGTCCCAGAAGTGGAATTGCCGGATCATATGGTATTTCTATCTTTAATTTTTTGAGGAACCTCCATACTGTTTTCCACGGTGGCTGCACCAGTTTGCAATCCCACCAACAAGCATAAGGGTTCCCTCTCTTCCACATCCTCATCAGTATTTGTTACCTCTTGTCTTTTTTATGCCGTTCTAATAGGTGAGGTGATATATAGGTGAGGTGGCTTTGGTTTGCATTTCCCTGATGATGAGTGATGCTGAGCATCTTTTCATGTACCTGTTGGCCATTCATATATCTTCTTTGGAAAAGTGTCTGTTCGAGTCCTTTGGCCATTTTTTAAAATTAAAATTATTTATTTATGTTGAGGGAGAGAGAGTGAGAGAGAGAGAGAATCCCAAGAAGGCTCCTCACCCTCAGGGCCGAGCCCAACGCGGGGCTCTATCGCACAAACTGTGAGATATGACCTGAGCTGAAATCAAGAGTCAGACACTTAACCGAGCCACCCAGGTGCCCCTCTTTTGGCCATTTTTAAATTGGGTTATTTGGTCTTTTACTATTGAGTTGCATGAGTATTTATATATTTTGAATATTAACCTCTAATCAGATATATGATTGGCAAGTATTTTTTTCCCATTCCATGGTTGTCTTTTCATTTTGTTGATCATTTCTTTTGCTGTGGGCTTTGCCAGTTCTGAACTTCGTACAAATCAACTCACACAGTATGTATTCTGCTGGGCTTGGTTTCACTCACTCTATAGTCTTCTGTGAAATTCACTCATATTATGCATAGTGGGGGGTTGTTAATTTTCATTGTTTAATAGTATTCCTCATGTGGCTATTTAATTATCCACTCAATTGATGAGAATTTGAGTTGTCTCCAGTCTTAGGTAGTGCATCCATGAACATTCTTGTACCTGTCTTTTGATAAGTATGTGGAGATATATATATATATATATATATATATATATATATATATATTTGGTGTATATTTAGGAGGAGAATTTCTGGGGGATAGGGTATGTGTATAACTGGCTTTAGTAGATACTGCCAACGTTCTCCAAAATGGTTGTACCAATTTACCTCCCATTTGCCATGCATGAGTTCCAGTTTTGTTTTGTTTTGAATATTTATTTTTGAGAGAGAGAGAGAGAATATGCAAGCTGAGGAGGGGCAGAGAGAGAGGGAGACACAGAATCTGAAGCAGGCTCCAGGCTGTGAGCTGTCAGCACAGAGCCTGACACAGGGCTCAAACTCACGTACGATGAGATCCTGACCTGAGCTGAAGTAGGACGCATAACCAACTGAGCAACCCAGGCACTCTAAGAAGTCTACTCTTTGCCCAAACCCAGGATCGAACTAGGGACCTTTAGTCTCTTTTTCTTATTCATTATTATCTACAACCTGTTTTGGTGTCAAAAGAAAACTACCAAAGCCTCCCTGTCACTAACATTTTCTCTGATATCTGGCTGGGGCCATTCCTTCCACGTCATTTAGAAAGAGATGTGGAGAATCCAAATGGGACTGTGTGCACTCAAGGGTCTTTGAAACTGCAAAAGGCTGTTAAAGGCATGATTATCATCATTGGAAGGATTCTTGCAGAAGCTAGCATCTTTTTCGGGATTGGATGTTCTAGAAAGGACGCTTACATGAGGTGAGAAGAGGGTCCACATGGAGGGTGTCAGTCTTTCTGATTCATTCCATTTAAGTTCCCAGGACACTTTATACAGGGCCCTCCTCCCCCATCCTACTGCCATAATTATTTACCTACTCATTTGTCTCTTGTCCTAGACCTGCATTTGGCAGACTCTTCATTCGTTCTGTTGGGGTCGGGGAGGGATACAAACAGGCTTTGGCCCAAGGTAGCTCTTAGGGAAACCAGCCTCGGATAGGACATCTCCTTCTGCCTATGCCTCATGGCTTCCTCTCCTTTCTTCATAACAGCTTAATTCGTGATGACATATTTGTGTGATTATTTGATATTTTACATTCTCCTCTAGCCTATAAACTCCTTAAAACAGAGATCCTGTCCCTTTTATCCACTATCCCACCTTACGTGTTTACTAGTGCTCAGTACACTGTAGGGAATTGATACTAGTCAACAAATAATTGAAATGGGTTGGATCTGAATCCCAGAGGTGCCCCATACTATGGCATGGCTCCATCTTCCCTTAAGTCTCCAGGAAATGGGGTTATTTCTTCTTGAGACCAGTTGCGTCTGTCAAGTGCTACTGGAAAGGTGTGATGGAAAGACTAGAGGATTAGCAGTACAGGGGTTTGGTCCCCTGGTCCCCCCTCCTCTAATTTGCCTTCTCCCCCCCACAAGTTATTTTGTCTGTCTGGACCTTTGTTCCTCTGGATTTGAAGGGAAAATCTGGACTCTGACCTTGAGGGTCTCCCTAGCTGCATACTGGGGCCCAAAGGTACATTTCTGCCTGCAGGAAAATGCTGAGAAAGTGCTGAGCTAGTGTCAGGGCCTGAGCAGGCTTATCTAGAAGTGAAGAGCAGACTGATTGGGGGGGGGGGGGCCCCTTTAGTCCCCCATGCCCTGAAACCAAATGAAGTTTTGCCTCCTTGGATTTTCAAAGTGCTTGGAATCCACGGCTTTTTTCCTCCCATTTTCTCTTTTGAACAGGAATGTCTGTAACTGTTATTCTACGCCTGTCCCATCGCTGAATTTGGGGGAGCAGCTGACTTGTGTTATGCATTCACAGTTGGAGAGCAATTATGCCTCAGGATGGACTAAACCCAGAACCCCATCCTTACCTGACTTCGATGATTTAGTTTAGATGATGAGATTTGAGACTCTGGAGTCAAGATTTAGATAAGACTGCGGATTTGAGTTGATGCTGTAATGGGTTGAGACTTTGGGGGAGGTTGGGATCTGGTGAATCTATTTTGCATATGGGCTGGATGTGAATCTTTGAGGCCTAGAGGGTGAACTGTGGTGGGCAGCCTGACCACCCTGCAAGACATCCGTGTGCTAATCCCTGGGTTCTATGCATATACTCTGTGACATGGCAAAGGGGAATTAAGGTAGCAGATGGAATGAAGGTTGCTAATCAGCTGACCTTAACACAGGTAGAGCATCCTGGGTAAGAGAGGTGGGTCCATCTAATCAGCAGGGCCCTAAATGTGGAAGACGTGGCAGAAGTAGAGACCCAGAGACCGCAGAATGGAAAGGACCTGGTCCAGTACTGCTGGCTTTGCAGATGGAGAAAGAGGGCCACAAACCAAGGGATGCAGATGGCCTCTAGAAGCTGGACAAGACCAGGAAACAGCTTCTTCCCCAGAGCCTCCAAAACTGTCGGCAAATCTGTGCCGCTTTAAGCTACTGTGTTCCTGGTAACTTGTTTACAGCAGCAATAGGCAACGGACACAAGTCTTGGCCGGCAATTTACTCTTCCAGGATCTCAGGTCGTTCCATCTTTGGGCTCCTTCGCATTCCTCAGTTCTCAAAGTAACTGCCAGAAGGATCAGCAGTGACAAACAGGCAGACGTGCCTGGCACACAGGTGCTCAACGGGTGTGACATGTACCAGCTCCCCCTCTTCTTCCAGGCTGGGGAGACACCGGGAGAGAAAGCAAGGGCCAAGTGCCATTCTCTGGGGAGCGCCCGCCACCCTCCTTCTTTTGATACGTAAAGAGCTCCCTTAAGGGAACTCCCGAAGCACACCTTATCAGGAGCCCTGCTTCTTATCTGCCTTTGGGGGACCCACTAGCTCCTCCCTCCTTGACAAACCCCTTTCGAATACACAAGCTCTTTAGAGCCTGAGACAGAGCAGAGCCAGAGTCTGGCTGGGCAAACAGGCTTTCAGAGATGAAAGAGCATCTGAGGCAGCTACGGCCACCATATTTCCCACCAGAAGGATCAGGAAGTGGTGCCCCGAGGTGAAGCCAGCCCATTGAAAGAGCTCAGATGGCCTGCGAGCCTCCTCCCTCCTGCCACACACCCGAGACAAACACCCCTCACACATTTCAGGATTCCAGCCCCTTCATTAGTTGGGTTATGAGCTTTTATTTAAAAAGCACATTTAATACAAGTGTAGTTTCGCAGATACAAGTTTTCACTTTGTATTCTACAAAAGTCTTTGAATATTATTCTCTTTACAAAATGGAACCTTACAAAAATACTGACACTTTAATGTTTTTATACAGTTTTCTCTAGTTGCAGTTATTTCTTTCATTGTAAAACAATGTCTACCACAGAACTACGATATTTTAGTTGATATTAAAAAAAAAAAAATTAACTCCATGCTTTTTTAAGCAGCTAATGTAAATAACACAGGTCGAGACAGTTTATAATCATAGTGGATGTAGCTAAAATTGTTTCAGAAATAATATCTTACATAGTTAACTTTTAATGTTTTATACATTATTTATATAATATTTATATATAAAAATCATAGCTTGCTAGAAGTGGAAATGAAAAGGACGGCTTCTGGAGTAAGGATGTACATGTGCTTGATCCATGTGGTTACATTTAGCCCTTTGCAAGGTTTGCACCCGCGATCTGAAAGCATTTCTTCCTTCCTCCTTTCCTCGAAGGTTCAGTAGAAAGGATCCCTGTCTACTGCCCCGCGTGGGACCTTGCTTGGAAGGACACTTACGGAGAGAGGATGAGGAAAAACTCTACGGAGATTTAACCCATGTGTTCTGCCCAGCAGAACCTACCGAGAACTGCCCTAGAGATCAACCCCAAGACAATAGTGCTTTACACAGCTTCGCAAGAGCAGCCCCCGCAGAGACGCTCGTCCGCTCCGAGATCTGGAAGGGCCGCCTCTCAGGCACGAGACCATCTGCTGCTCTGGCTCATTCTGACTCTGAGTAGCCAAAAGGTTGGTGAGTTTTTCATTCTTGCCCATTCGCTCCCACGTCTCTTGTACGTAAGGCTGCTTCCCGCCAGCCGACGGCAGAGCATGCCTTTGCTGGTGTCGGGACCCTCCCGGGAGACCCCGGGGGGCACACAGCAAGGACTTCCAGGGAGAAAGCAGTGACCGAAGCTAACTGTTAGCAAGAGTGTGAAGGTGCCGAGTGACTGGTGAACACAACAGGGGCATCCCGCTGCTGACGTCCCGCATCACCCAATGATGCGGCCAGAGAAGACAAAGGAGGGCCAGCACCCTCGATCGCTTTTGAAATTGTGCTATTTGTGAAACTCACTCATCCACAAAGAGTCTCCTAATCGCTAAAGTGAGGGGCTGTGGCTGCTGGCCTGGGGGCCGGGGGAGGGAGGGAGAAAGGCCTCAGGACTGGGAATCCAGATTCGGGATCGCGTGGCCTGACTTAGCACACCTGCTCTGCCCTTATATTGAACAAAACAAAACCAACCTTCCCGAACCAAAGTCACAGCACAGATCAGAGTGGTGTGGACAGAGAGACACGAGACAGGAGCCCGCCCAATGGCTGTTTTCTTGATTCAGTGCTACTTCTGGCATTGTGTGCTACAATGTGAATTTGATCTTTTCTCACAGGCCTGGGGCTCCTCGGGTCACAAGCGTGACTGGCAGACCCTACTCAAATCATTTTAGTGTCTGTTCCAGAACAAGCCCGTGTTCACTAGAACATGAACACTTAGACCAATTGCACATCCAGGATTTCGGCACTTGGTGTTAGTTTGCTGTTGTTTCCACATAGGTGAATGCTACCTATTTTGGAAGGCCACAAAATAAGACTTTTTTTTTTTTTCCTTTTTAAAATCAGTTGGGCAAAAAGTTTTTCCCTACATTCTACTGTCTGATGAGATTGGAGAGCAGCAAGAGCTTGCTGTCAGCAGTCATTTTATAAAACAGCTCAGGAGGTGGGCAGCACCTACACCATGTTGTGGTGATTGTTCCTGTCAATAATGTCCACAGGCGAAAGGATTTCCTTCCGGAGAGCAGGGGGAGGCAGGGAGAGTGTCGTCTTGGTCTTGAAGAGGTCGGACACAAAGAAAACCTAGAAGCACAAAATCAGACATCGAAATTAATAACTGACATCTGGGGCCTGGGGACAGGCAAAGGGAAGGTCATAGAAGCACAGACTTTGGGAAAAAGGGACCCCCAGACCATAGATCTTTGACTAGGGAAGGATCCTACGGAGATTTTATATATATATATATATATATATATATATATATATATATATATATCAACTTGTGTTATACAGGTAGGGAAACTGAAGCCCAGAGAAGCACAGTGACATGTCCCAGGATGCACAGCCATGGTGGGAGTAGAATTCTGTTCTCTGGACTCTCAGTCCAGTGCTTCCTACCAAAAATGCTACTTCCCTATTTCTCAAGGAAAATGAACAGCAGTGAAAAATAAATTCCTACATAAGGAAGCAAGTCATAATTAGTCATGCTCATTAATCTACGATACTTTCCCTTTCCTCACAAAGAAATCTAGGGTGTAACCACAAGAGATCATCCAACATGAATTCCTATCAGCAGGAGTGGAGAAGGAAGCCGTTGTGACCACGTTTTCCTGAAAGTCCGGATCTCAACAATTTGATGGGGGTGCAGAAGCCAGGGTTTTGTGGCTGAGGGAGTCAGCAGCTAACCCGGAGGAGAGGTCAATGCAATCTCCTATCGCTCCTTCCCAAAGTCCTTCCCATTTGTGAGCACAAGACCCCACCCGGTCTTAACAATCCCTGAGGAACATTTACAGACACCCAACTTGCAAAGGTACGGGGACGGCTGAGGCATAGCTCCCGTCCCAATTAGCTTACGAGGACAGATTCAAGAGCCTGATGAGTTAGTGGAGTAAGAAAAATTTATGCTTTGTATTACAAGGCAAAATAAATACACAGACATCCACTTGAGCCATTCAGCAATAGGAGTTTGTATTGCGTAACCATAAGAGGCGGCTATCAGTCATGTCATTTAATAGGAAACACAGGGCAGATTTTTGAAATGGAGACTAGAGCACCTCCAAATTCCCTATGCCTAGCCAACTTTCTGGATTGCAAAGTCCTTGTCCTGCCATGGGTCATGCGCTCACTAACAATGATGGCACTGTGACTTCGTTCTGGACACAGTAGAGGCTAAAAAGTTACTTTTCAAATTTTTTTGAGAGAGAGTATGAGCTGGGGAGAGGGGCAGAGGGAGAGAGAGAGAATCCCAAGCAAGCATGCTCAGTGCAGAGCCAGATGTGGGGCTCGATACCCTGATCCTTGGATCATGCATCAAGGGTCCATGGATCACCCCTTGGATCACCTATCGAACCAACTTCCATGATGTCCTTTCTATAGTCAGACAGAGCATCAACCAAGTGCCACAGAAAGCACAGCCAGAAACTGGTGGTGCTGGTTACTCAGGAGATCAAGGGACCAGAAGAGGAACAGGAAATAGAGACTTATCAGCCGCTACAAAACCCTGACAACTTTAAAAAAAAAAAAGAATTTTTTTTTTTTTTTTAATGTTTATTTACTTTTGACACAATGTGAGAGACAGAGTGCAAGCAGTGGAGGGGCAGACAGAGGGAGACACAGAATCTGAAGCGGGCTCCAGGCTGAGCTGTCAGCACAGAGCCCAACGCGGGGCTTGAACTCAACGAACCGTGAGATCATGACCTGAGCTGAAGTCGGACGCTTAACCGACTGAGCCACTCAGGCGCCCCAACCCTGACATCTTTTGAATTTTGTACCCATTCTATACATCACCTACTCAAAGGTTTAATTATGATTTGTTTGTAAAAAAGTAATAAATAAGAAAATATGGCTGGGATGTTTCTGTGCTACTATCAGAAAGTGAAATGTTGCCAAGAAATGTTAACATTTTAATACATTTACAGCCCCAGTGCTATAGAATGTACCATTTTGCAAAGAAAAAAAAAAATTAAACCTTCTGTCCCTTTCTTTTCCAAGGAGGTGTGAACAGTGAGAACTCCTGGCTCCTAGTCCGGGCCAAACCCGAGAACCAGGAAAGGAAAGATGTGTACCCAACCCTGCCAGGAGGTTCGAGGCCCCCTGGCTGGGAATCCTTTACATGTGGTCCCCGAAGGAGCTTGCAAGTGCTTCCCGTATAAGGAAGCACTAACGACTGTGACTGAAGTTAAATGTGGAAATAATTACACTTTTCAACTCTTCTCTGACAGGTGCAGAGCCAATATCCCCATCTCCACCTGGAAACTACCCTCTCCTTCCTCCTTTACTTGGTTTTGGAGGAAGGCTTCAATCTAGCCCTCCGAGGCGGACTCTCAACTGCACTTCTTCCTGCCCAGCCGCCAGTGGCACCAAATGAGGGCTCTCACAGCTCCCATCTCTTAGAGATCTTTCCCCCAGCTTCAGCCCACCTGCTGAAGGCAAACATAGCAAGGGGATGAACCCCCAGCCCCCAATAAACATCTTCCCTCCGAGAATCTGACACCACCTTAATCTACTGGCTTATTTCCCAGTTTAATTTTCTGAGCTCATTATCTACCGCCTATTAGGGTTTCCGTTTCCCAGCTGCGAGACAGGAATAATACGGACGTTAAAGGCAAGAATGTAGGGGCCGCCTGGGTGGCTCAGTCGGTTAAGCGTCCGACTTCGGCTCAGGTCATGATCTCGTGGCTCGTGAGCTTGAGACCCCACGTAGGGCTCTGTGCTAATGGCACAGAGCCTGCTTGGGATCCTGCTTCTCTCTCTCTCTCTCTCTCTCTCTCTGCTCCTCCCCTGCTCACTCTCTCTCTCTCTCTCTCTCTGAAAATAAGTAAATAAACCTAAAGAAAATTATTGTTGAATTTCTTTTTTTTTTTTTTTTTAATATGAAATTTATTGTCAAACTGGTTTCCATACAACACCCAGTTGAATTTCTAAACTCCTCTCTACTGGAAGCAAGCATGCTGGCCTTGGGTCTTATCGGCACATGCAAATCCCCCAGCCTTCTGGGGAACCACACGCTCGCACGCTGCATGTACGCGGCCAGGCGGCAAGATGAAAAGTTGAGTCAGGTCCAGCAGAACCCCCCTTTAAAAGCTGCATTTCGCTTTCAGCGTGGCTTGAGCTTACACAAACACTTTTTTGGGATCATGAAACTCGATCCTGTCAAGACTCAAACAGGGCTCAGTCTTCCCAACGCTTGAACAGCAGAGCACAAAAAGGACTAGCAGAAGTGAAAACCTTGCCCCCCCGAGCAGTTCCATTTCCTGCAGAAGGTGCTCTCCACCCAAAAAGAAAACCCAGAGGCCCAGATGGGGAAGGGTCTATACAAATTAGGTAGCTATCTTATGTCCAGGGAACCACTCCCAGCCCACAGCCCTACTTCCACAGATCTCTGCTGTAGGAAGAGAGCAACATTAGATAATAAACACAGTGTCGGCGAGCCGGAAGTCTATACCCTAAGCACCAAGAAAAGCTCTTGTTTAAACTGCCCTGAGCATTTGCTTTCAATTCCATCTCTCCGATTCTTTGAATTTTATAAAGTGCTTTTTTTGAAAAATGCAACCAGTAACGCGTATTGAACATCTGCTCTGTGCCAAGCCCTGAGATTATAAAGATAAATATACCTAAGAGCCCTTTGCCCTCCCAAGCTCACAGGGCAAGGGGGGGGGGGGGCGCGAGAAGAGATCCAAGCAAACAGATAGTTACGATACAGTGTTTTAAAGATCATGATAGAGGGAAGCCAGGGGGGTTGAAGAATCATGGAACCCACACTGAAGGGGAGGGTGGGGGGCTTTATAAAGAAGGCTTCCCCCAAAGGAGGTATATTTGAGCTTAGCTCAGTAGGAGTTAGCCAGGTGGCGAACGCCAGGAATGTTGTTCTAGGCAGAGGAGCAGTGCGTGCAAAGGCACGGGAGTGAGAGAGAACAGCACGTTCAGGAGCTGCAGGAAACTCAGCATGGCTACGGCCACGCGGTCAGTAAGGCTGCATGCAGAGGAGACAGCCAGATCCTGAGAAGGCTCCTAGGACACATTAAGGAACTCGGACCTCATCCTCCTGGCTTCAGGAGCCACTGTCAAGGCTGTAGCAGAGAAGCAGCCTGTCGAGAAGGCTGTTACCTAAAGACGCAGAAGGAGTCAGAAAGGGAATGGAGAACCTGAAGGCAAGGGCACCAAGTCAGGACCCGCAGAGTCCAGAAGACGGGTCCCGCGCTACAACCAAGCCGTGAAGACGCAGAAGAGATGGGCTTCTGGAATGTGGAGAGCAGACGGCAGTTGATAAGAATTGACGGGGGTTGGTGTGGACGTGTGGAGGTGGATACGCGTGCAGGAAAAAGGCGATGCTTTCCTTCCTAGTTGCGCGTCTCACTCTAGAAATCTTTGCTCTTGCTCCCCCCCCCCCCCCCCCGCCGAACTCTTGCGGCGGGGGTAACCACGCCAGGGGAAAAAAATTCTACCTCCGTTTTCATCTGCCTTCTAACATTTGGGGTCCCTCTGACAGCACCTTGGGGAAGCAGGTGTGGCCTTCTTCTGAGTTAGAATGGCCAGGCCATTCTGGGACCCGAGTGTGCAAGATGCCCTGACGTACCCAAGCCCTCAGGAGACTGGAGTCCTTCGACCAAGAGCAAGACTCCGCACAAATGAGGCAAGTCCAGGCTGAGGAATCCCATTCGTTACAAAGAGGAGGTAAGAAGCATACAGGGAGCCACCATCCCCAGCGCACCACTGTGTCGTCCCGGGGCGCCCCCCGTCCAGCACATGCAGCACTGGCAATGAGCCTTGCCCACAAGGGCAAGACAGACTTGTCTTCAAATCCAGCCTCTGCCATTTTCGGTAAAATACCCAAATGAGGGACACAGTGCCCACCTCGGAGGGTCACTCTAAGGATGTGACGTAACAGAAGGCACAAGTGTTGACAGCGTGGTTAATAAACCATAAATAAATAAATAAATAAATAAATAAATAAAGGTTAATAAATGGGAGCCATGGCCACTGGCTCAGGCGTCCAGTGCCTACCTACACAACGTCACTTCTCCTTCCCCGCTCCTTGTGTGGGAAGACAAGAAACAAGAGAAGGAACTAGAAGAAAGGAAAAG